TCTTGGAAATGGAGATGGTTCTTTTGAAAATGAAACAAGGTATTCAGCTGGCTATTGGCCACAATCTGTAGTTGTTGGTGATTTCAACAACGACACTCGACTAGATATCGTTGTCGCCAATTGGGGTAGCAATGATGTGAGTATCCTTCTTGGAAATGGAAATGGTTCTTTTGAAAATGAAACAAGGTATTCAGTTGGCTCTTATCCACGATCTGTAGTTGTTGGTGATTTCAACAACGACACTCGACTAGATATCGTTGTCGCCAATGAGGGTAGCAATGATGTGAGTGTCCTTCTTGGAAATGGAAATGGTTCTTTTGAAAATCAAACAAGGTATTCAGTTGGCTCTTATCCAATATCTGTAGTTGTTGGTGATTTCAACAACGACACTCGACTAGATATCGTTGTCGCCAATGCATATAGCAATGATGTGAGTGCCCTGCTGCAATATAACAGAGGAGCGATGGCATATAAAATGTCGTATGCATCTGGCGGTGGATCTAGCCTACAATGCGTAGTGATTGGGGATTTGAACAACGATACTAATCTGGATATTGTCTTAGCTAATTATGGCACTAATAATATCGGCGTCCTTTTTGGATATGGGACTGGTAGTTTTGAAAACCAAATGATGTTCAGCGCTGGCGCAAATTCTCATCCGATTTCCATCGCGGTTGGCGACTTCAATGGTGACCGCATAGCGGATATTGCTTTAGCCAATAATGGTACCAAGCATGTAGATCTGATGCTTGGAAGTGGAAACGGAAAATTTGCAATTCAAACAAGTTATCAAATTAGTTTTGATTCACCTCCGTTAGTGATGGCTTCTGGTGATTTTAATAATGACAAACGATCGGAGATCGTGATCGCTAACGGTGGAAGTAATCATGTGGATATCTTTGTTGCGTACAATCATGGTATTTTTGAAAGTCAAACAAGGTATTCAGCTGGCTCTCGTCCATCATCTGTATTTGTTGGTGATTTCAACAACGACACTCGACTAGATATCGTTGTCGCCAATGAGGGTAGCAATGATGTGAGTATCCTTCTTGGAAATGGAAATGGTTCTTTTGAAAATGAAACAAGGTATTCAGCTGGCTCTGGTCCACAATCTGTAGTTGTTGGTGATTTCAACAACGACACTCGACTAGATATCGTTGTCGCCAATGCAGTTAGCAATGATGTGAGTATCCTTCTTGGAAATGGAGATGGTTCTTTTGAAAATGAAACAAGGTATTTAGCTGGCTCTGGTCCACAATCTGTAGTTGTTGGTGATTTCAACAACGACACTCGACTAGATATCGTTGTTGCCAATTACCGTAGCAATGATGTGAGTATCCTTCTTGGAAATGGAGATGGTTCTTTTGAAAATGAAACAAGGTATTTAGCTGGCTCTGGTCCACAATCTGTAGTTGTTGGTGATTTCAACAACGACACTCGACTAGATATCGTTGTCGCCAATGGGGATAGCAATGATGTGAGTATCCTTCTTGGAAATGGAAATGGTTCTTTTGAAAATGAAACAAGGTATTCAGCTGGCTATTGGCCACAATCTGTAGCTGTTGGTGATTTCAACAACGACACTCGACTAGATATCGTTGTCGCCA